TTCGAATATTCAAATTCAAATTCAATAAAAAAGAACTTTACACATAAAAATTTGGATATTCGTATATTTAAATTAAACTCAGATTCGAGCACTCAAATTCGGATGTTTGAATATTTAAATTTTCTAAAATTATTCGAATATTCAAATTCAAAATTCTACTAACTTACGTTCTCATCTGATTCAGTTGAATCGATACTCCTTCCAAATACCCCCAAACCATTTCTCCCCGAGTAACGCAATTCCAAAATTCTAAAACTTGTCCGACACAGACAATGCAAATCAAATCGAACTCGAAAAATATCCGACAGGTGGTTTGTCCACGCGCCCCGCCGGAAAGTCGAGATATATTCCCTTAAAGATCCTAGCGAGCGTTTAATTAACAGAAATTAATTAGCCTCCGGGAGGAACATATTGATCAGTTATGTGAGCGGACTGGCGAACCGGCCCAGGGAATACCGAAGACGTGATACCGATGTCGCGACAGATCAGCCGTGGACAATGCCCGCCGTTCCAGCTTTTTGTCGTTTGGCCGATCGTTAATTAGCGCGTGGAATTCGCTGTTGCCCCACCGGTTGCCGCGAAATCGTCATCCTTTCGACCTGCTTGCCTCCACCGAACACCCATTTTTTGCCACTCGCCCCGAACTCGGTGAAATCGTCCACACGCGGGTGCCCTACCGATTCCCCTCTCGACGAGACGATGGTTTCTTCCTTCTGCACGATCATGACACGTTAAATGCCGGGAAATTGTAAAGATTAGTCGATGGGATAATTGACTGAGATTGAGAGATTGAAATTTGGTAAAAATTATTATGAATAATGGAAATTTTAAAGGAGAGGAATCTGGCAGATATCGTATTTTAATTTTTCGGAATAGTAACAAGTGAAAAATTTGAAGGAATTTCACTTAGCATACGCTGCATGAGAATAAATCTTTGGAAAATTTTAATTATAATTTCTAATTCAATTTGCCATTTCGTTTCACAAGAATATTTTAAACCTTCATTAATATATCAAATTTACGATTATTATATACGATTTCCTGTTTCTTCGAAAATAAACTAAAACAAATTTCTTTAACTTTAATAATTACCAACAACGATTGCTACGCTACTGTTTTAGCTGTCATAATATTCGAAGTATTAATCATTGTCAAAATTCAAAATTATGTACAATTATATCATATCCATACTTTCTTTATAACAACAATAATACTGTCGAACGCAAGAAAAGGCATCGAAATACATATATATATATATATATATAAGCTCGGTTCGTTTTTTTAAAATTCCACGATAGCGGCAGTAAGAATGGCGAAACCGATCCTAGAATCGGCTAATGACACGCGTACGAGTTAATCATCGAGCACGGGGATAGCACGGGTGTATAATCACGTTGGATTGGCAACGAAACGGGAGCGTAACGCGAAAACAATTTATTTTTTACGATTCAATTTCACCGGTCGTTGGCAACCGATAGGTAAGACCGTTCCCTTCGCGGTCGAACGTGCCCCGTGTTCGCTTCTATAAATTGGGGATTAACGGCGAACGGCCGACGCTGATTGCGGAGAAACGCGTGTGCTCACGCACGATCGACGACCGTCTAATTTATGTGAGCACGGGGAGCGCGGCCGTTAACGCGAAACGAGCAAGGATTTTCGCGCTCCCATCACGATCCTTTTCCTCCTCTTCCTCTCCCCCCCCCCATTATTTTCCGCGAGTCGAGCTTTTCTTGCTGTTTATCCGACGAAAGTCGAAGCTGAATTTGTCGTCGAGAACTGTCTTGTATCCGCACAGCTTTCCATGGAAAGAAAATATGGAGGTATATATATATATATATATATATACACGAGTCGCTTGTCGGAGGGAGGGAAGCGTGTAAACAGGTTGTTCGCGTACGGTGTTTATACGAAGTTTATGCGCGTGAAAGAAATTTTAAGCGGCTTTATTTTTTAACCGCTAATTCATTTGCTCATGCATATATCTTTGTAATATCGTCGTTGGAACAGGGACGTAATTCGAAATTTATTTTCATTGAGAGGATGTTATTGTTATATAGAATTCTATCCAGACGAGTTTTCCTCAACTTTTTAAAATTTGGGTAATGGTAATATTTGTTGCATACGAATTATTCAAAATCGTTTCTTGTGTGAATCACGTGATATGTATATAATAATGTAATCTTTGATTGAGGGAGGAGAGGAACTGTTTCATTAAGTAGTAACTGTTTCATTTAGGTGTAATTAATTCATTAAAATTATCGGGGAGAAATTTTTTTATCAACATTCGATTAAACGACGCTTGATAATTGTCTAACCGAGCTTATCTAAATTAATGCCGCTCGTTCTCCAATTATATAGGAGAGGAAAAGGTTAAAGTTAACGCAATTAAAAAATAAGCTAGATTAGAGATTGAATCCGCTTGTTTGAACTTGAACTCCATTTGTTATATTAATCTATCCGATTATGTGAACTGTCCCCCGTCGGATTAAGTATTAAGTGCTAGATCGAGTTTGCAAGATTATTTTCAAATTTAAAAATAGATATTTAATGTTATGCAATTTAGAAAAAAAATGTATATATATATATAACTCTTACTGATTAAACGAAAAATCATTATGCGAATCGTTTTATGAACATTATAATTATATGAATCTACTTTTTAGATAAATTAAACATAAACGGAATTTTTCTCTGTTATTTGTGATTTTTATTACAACTAATTCATTTTTTTAATAGGTAATATTTATTAAAGTGACATTTCAAATAAGAATTTCACATTTAAAATTCATTTAATTAATCATTGACAAAGAAAGCTTTTATTTCAATAATTAGAATTATATATGATTCGTGTGTTTATACAAATAAGATTTTTTTTAGAATTTTTTATATTAAATATTTTTATATATTAATATTTAATATTTAAATTCAATCTTTAAAATCTTTCAAAAAATATATATTTCCATTTTCTATCATTTTAAATATAAATCAGCTTTTGGAAACTATATCTTTCATTTTAATATCGGAATTTTAAATACAAAAAATAAACGAAAATTATCTAATTTAATATCATAATCAGAGAATTTTTCAGTATTAAACAAGTATTAACATACTTGTTTACAATTTTTTCAATAACTTATATTCGCCTAATTAGAACAAAAAAAAAAAATGAATCCCAAATCCAACATCAAAGCCACATTAAAAAAACCTAATCTAAGACAATAAATATTTTTTTTTCCATTTCGCAAAATTACCAATGAAAGATATTATTAATATGCTCGGATCATCGACGAGTTGACGACAAATGTCCCGTCATTGTTTACACCCTCGCACGCTCTGTATTTTATATTCCCCTCGTGAAATGGATAAAATCGGAATTGAAATCGACGAAAAGTGTTCAACACTGGATAAAAAGTTGGAAAGGGACAATGGTTTTCATTGGGAGCGTCGAGCGAGCATTAATTAACGGCCGGCGGGTAACGTTATCGCTGGCTCCCAGATAATTATTATGCAACGCATACACGGGAATAACGTGCCGATAATTTCGCACCATTCGAACAAATCTGCGCAAACATGATTAATATTACGAACTTTGTAATGATATCGGATATTCAAGGATCCCGCTCGTTTCTATCGCGTTCGATGACATAATTAATGATAAGCGTGTGTATATATATATATATATATATATATACACCTTCGACGATCTTCCTTTCGCCGGGTAATATATTTTTAATCGTGCGTGGTTAAGTAAGAGGTTGGTGCGATTATGTAAACAAACGTATATATACGTATCGTTTTACGATATAGAACCACAAAAAAAAAAATAAATAAATAAATAATATTATCGAAATTCGATAACTCGAATCGCAAGGATTTTCGAATTGTGCAAATTAAAAGAATAAATAAAGGAAAGGTGGAAAGAAAAGAGAATTCGTAAGACGTAATAAATAACCCAGTTTGAGTTGTAGAGACACCGACGATAGCTTGAATTTCTTTGGATTTATAATTAAAATGTATTTCTTATTCCGTTGAAATAATATAACAAGTTTATAAGTTTCGATTTACAGAGGTTTTTATAGGGAATACGAGAGGAAACGAGTGAAATTGTAATCTTATTTCACAGTCTTATAAATGTTTGATCTTGTATGTAATTACAATTTCTCTCCGCTCCTTCTTCTTTCGTCTCGCTCTTAATTATCGTCTTGCTCCACTGCAACCACGTTAAACGATTTATCAGGCACGATAATTGGACAATAATTATACGAGCTATCGTATCACAAGAAAATATTATACGTTTCCTCTATAGATATCTTAATTCACCTTTCTATAACGTAATTATACTCTGTTAATTATTGAATGCATATATATATATATATATATATATATATATTGTTTAATCGCGTTTTTGGATAATAAACACAATCTCTCGGGAACAATAGCTAAATTGTTGCAATTTAATGAAGAGTTAAGAGTTCTCTCAAGAGTTGGTAGTAAATTAGAAATAAGTTGAAACGAGTATTGGAAAATTGAAATTATAATATTACTATTAAGTACTATTTGTATTCACAGATTTAAATAAAGTATTCTTAGTTTAATCGAAGGCAAAATATGTTTAAAGTATTACTCATTTGAAATATTTTCTTTTTTCAATGTTATTTGTACAATTATTATTTCTTTATCTAATTTTAAAGTAAAACGATTCTGTATGTTTCCAACTCCAAGATTTAGATATTCATTATCAATAACTGAAATATCAACTCACTTATGATAAAACTCTAGTAAAAAGTGTAGAAAAAAGTGATTACCCTTATGTTTTCCTTAAATTACCAATATTCCCTCTATCCAATGTTCCACACCTCTCAAAAGACACAACTCTCTTCAACGACGCCTCATCCCACAACCCTCGATTTACTTGGAATAAAATTTCTAATTCGACACATGCCCAGTCTCCCTCCACTCGTGTTTTGTCACTGATCGGCGGTTTTTCGGATCGGTTCCAGGCGATCTGAGGCTGCCGGGGCCGGGGCCAGGCCCGGTCAGGTGCACCCTGAGGAAGCACAAGCCGAATCGCAAGCCGAGGACACCGTTCACCACGCAGCAGCTGCTCTCCCTGGAGAAAAAGTTTCGCGAAAAGCAGTACCTAACCATCGCCGAACGAGCGGAATTCTCGTCGTCCCTTCACCTTACGGAAACGCAGGTGAGACGCCATCAAAATTACCCGTTAAGCTTCCAATCAAGAACAATTAATCCGGGGGAAACATTTTGTAAACTTGGCGGCTTCGGGAATACACTTTTCTTTTTTGATCGTTAAATGAAAATGGTTTTTAAAGAAATTGGATAAGTGTGTTAATGCGAAACGAGTCGAACGAGATCACGCGTGATGTCATCGAATTAATTCGATGCGAATATTCATACCTTGGCGAGAATACTCGTTCGGAAATATTAATATTCAACAGTTTCGCAGTATTTTAATTTTAACGATTGTTAAAGCTGAAATGTATTCTTTATAATATTGGAATAATGAAAATCCAAGTTATATCATGGTATAATAGATTTTAAATAATAATATATTCGATGTTGTTCTTATATTTGGATTTTATTTAATATTTGTAATGCCTTTAAAAGTAATTAATTTAAATTTTAATACGCGTAAAGTGCGATATAATTGAATTTAAAAATATTGCGAGTGAGAGAAGATCAAAGAATTACTAGCAAAATATTCATGAAAATTTCGAGTCTATATTTGTTTTCGTTTTCCAAAGTACTTGTAAAAGCTATCTATATTTTGTTTGTTGAGTTTGACTCTGTTTGTAAAGTATTTGATATATAGTATCGATATCTGGTGATTTATAAAATAAGAATCATTTAAGAAAAATTATTTATTATATGAATTTTATTTTTACGGAAGTTGAAATCAATGTTTTAATTTTTTTTTTTTTTTTCATTTCTTTAAATATATAAATTGTCCAGGTTTTAATATCTTTCGTAAAAAAAAAAAATCTATTCCTAGACGAAATTACATTAAAAAATATGGAGGATTGAAAGGTGGATTACATCCCTTTAAGAATTTTTCGTCGAAAAGAAAATTGTTCTACATTTTATTATATACATACACACACAAGCTTTCATTGAAATCAGAATTTTGAATTGATTAAATGTTGTGATATTCGAATACTTTCATTAGTTATTGAATAATCGTCACAATATTCCGATGATTCACTTACAACAGAATTAACGAAAGAGACAATTCAGACACAACTTTAACATTAACGAATAATAAAACTTAGATTTTTCCTTAAATTGTTCTATATTCAAATTGGATCTTTTAATATACAAAACTGAATAGAATTCCGAGCTTCGAAATTCTTTCTCCAATATATCATCAAAATAATAATAAAATTCAAATATAATATATATTCCTCTATCATTCCGATATATTTCAAAATAAATCATCGTTAGGAATTTAAAATATCGCTTTTTCTCGGGATTCGTCGTAGTTTAAAATACCCTTAAAAAAAACCGAAGCTTGTAACGATACAAAAGAATGGAAACTATTCTCGGAAAACGCGTAAATAGAGAAAGTGGCAAAAAAGGGTGGCTCGCACGCAACAAGAGGATCATTTGAAAGCCCCTGAGTGAACTCGCTCTCCTCCTTTACGTACATTTGTTCCTCCCCTTGTATTCCCCTGCAATTTATTTCTCCCTCTTTCTTCCGCGCTTCGCTCTCATCTTTGTTTTCGTAATTGCTCGGCCGATCAAAACGAGCAAATTCTCTCTCTCTCTCTCTCTCTCTCTCTTCGCATCAGATACATCACATCGAGGCGTAATTGCATACTCTTTTATGGAGGCAGGCAATTTTTTTTTTTTTTTTTTTTTTGGTCGGCAATTAACATGATTGACGTTAATTAAATTGAACGTTAATGAAATGATATTATATACGTAATTTTTACGTATATCGGTGAAAATAATCGGCACTCTTATTTGGCACGCTAAAGAAGAAGAAGACCAACGTGTTCAACGATCGAATCGTGGCTGAAACTGTTTTTACAAGTGTGTGCTGTGCGTGTGAGTATACGAATGAAAATTTGATTCGATTTACGAATTGTCTCTGAATGATCAATCAATTCATCGATAGTCGAAGTTTATCATCAAGCAAATTTCGATTGAGACGTTAACGTGTGAATTCGAAATCGGAGAGAAAGACGATGATATATTTGAATAATATTTTGATAACGTTGTTGAATGGCTGTTTAACTGATATTAATTGTAGATAATTGAGATATTTACAGGCAGACTTACGAAAGATTCGTAATTTTGACATTCATCTTGCTCAGAATTACATCAGGGAAATAAATATTTTCGGTAAATTTTTATTGGAAAAATTTTATCGATAAAATTTGTCTTTTTAGTTTTCTCTTTCTCTTTCTCTCTCTCTCTGAAATAGTAGTTACAGAAATGGTTGATTTCTTGATGATATTGACACAAGTCAAAAAATTTCAAATTTCCTTTTAATGAATGCAAAGTATATATTATGTTTTTATACAATAATGGAAAGAAGTAATGTATTTTAATATCTCACAGATATTTTGAAATTTCATTAAAATATAAGATTAGTATTTTAAATAACAAAAAACTCTATTTTCAATATTTAAAGAATAAAAAATAAAAAACAGAACATGGTTAATTGCAATTTTCAATTTTAAGCATAAAATAAATATTTTATCTATCCCAAATTCAAAAATAAATTGTACGTAATATTTGCTTGTAATTACACATCATTTAATAATAATATTTATTTATAAAAATCTTACTTCAAATTTTCCCCAATATAAACGCGCCTCTATATAATCGAATTCACAAATTCATAAAAAGCGTGTGTAAAAATGATCAATGATTAAATTCGTAATTAAAATTACGCGCACATTTATTTAAACACACAAAAAAAAAAAAAATCCATAGAACACGCACAAGATACCCGAGATAAGACTTAAAATATCGAAATTAAGAAAATAAATATAATCTACCAACATTATATATTTAAAATTCCAAATTTGCATAATAAACACATTCACACATGTATTTATAATTCACTTATTATTCACTTATTATTATCTGAAAATAATTATCGAAACATTGAAAAGTTTTATCAATATATCAGCCGCGATTGCCAGTTGCCCGACCTCGACATTCTGTTTCTACTTCTAATTCGTACCAAACCAAACACAACCGAACTGTTTCCTTCACCGATAATAACTTAACGGCGTTACACGAAGTGAAAATTAATTAAACCTGCTCGCGTATATATACACATATATAATCTCTCTGTTATGTATTTATTGAACGAAACGAAATTTGTCAGAAGGAGGAGTAAATAGTAAATCGTTATAGGCTCGAATCGACTTCCGAATCGAGCGTACGTCGATTCGTATCGTGAGAAGTGTCGAGGGTGGAAAAATCCTTGGAACGGAGACATTTTAAACGGCGATAAAAATTAACCAACGTTAGGCGTTAATGCCTAACGTTGGACGTTTGCTCGACGGGGGAACATGTGTCGTGGCGCAGGAGGGGAGGGGGCAAAGAGACGACCGCGACGAGGCTATTATCGAGGTTCGAACCGGGTAGCGTGCTCGAATACACTTTGCGTATTCATTACAATGCATCAGACGAAATGAATCCTCTCTCTCTCTCTCTCTCTCTCGTTCCGTTCATTTGCTTAGATAAGCTACGATCGCACCGTCCCTCCCCTCCCCTGTCCACCCCTTTCGTCCTTCCGAAACAGACCACCCTCTCCCCTCCTCGCCACCCTCTCCTGCTCCTCCTCCTCGGCGCCGCACTCCTCTCATTATTCACCCAGCGACGAAGAGGTATGTTCGCGATTTGGGTTGCGATATTCACGCGGTTAGAATGCAATAGCGCCGTTCGTGGAAATTATTTTCGAGACGGTTCGGTGGATCGATGGGATATTCATCGGTTTCGCCATTTCCACAGGATCAGAGGTTCTATCCAACGTGGAGGGAAATTTGATTATTTTAGGTTACAGGTTGGAACGTAGAAAATGAAAGAATATTTCGACTCGTTTGTATTTGTTTTACGATGTTGCGAGAAGGAAGATTGTGTAATATCTATTGGTATCTGAGGAAATTAGGATTATGATTAATATGTGTAACGTGATAAAGTAAATTGCGAAATTAATTAGGAAATTAGGAAATAATTAGCGCATAGGGTAATTTAGATGAACGATAAAAAAGATGATTAGATATACTGTTGGTATTAATATCCATACAATGTAGAATTATATTCTCTACATAATATTGTAATTATTTAAACCTATTTATTCGTGTTTCTTTCAACAATGACGATCGAAAGGCGATTTATCACTATTCGATTCGACTTATTATCATTTATGTTGATAATAATAACTGCGAGCAAATCAATTTAAAATAAAACTTGATGAACGAGATACGATACATTTTTAGAATTCGAGAAAATGTAACGTTAGTTCAATCTACTTTAATTTTAATAAAATAAAAAAAATAAGAACTCTGCTCGAGATTGTCTCGGAGAAAATCAAATTAAGTTAGTCGCACAACGAAATATTCGAAAGGAGGAGTACAATTCTGAAGGAATTGCTTGTAAATAATATCTCTCGAATTTGTAATTAACCTCGGATCAGGAAATTCAAATACAATAATTCGAAAGAGAGTTTACGCTACTCCCTGGTAAAATTATATTATTTGGACGTATAGGCCTTAAGAACCGTGAAGAACAGGAAGTCGTTGGAAGTCGAGGAGAAAAACCACGCGAGATATTGCAATATGTCTCTCCTCTCCCTAGGAGAACTACAACTAACGATTTGATTGCGCATTGTCACGCGACGCGAGATTTCTACTTTCTAAGCGGCCAACACGAGCCTATCTTCCCCCGAGGCTTCGTTTTACTCGCCTCTACTTACGCCGCCTCGCACGAACCAACACCATCATGCCCCCTCCCCCTCCCCCCACCGACACATCGTGCCTGATTTATTAAGAAGTTACGCGATTTATATCTTATTCTTTCTTCCCGCATCTGCGTTCCTTATTCACCCTTATACATACATATATATATATACCCTCAACATTATATCCATTTCAGGGATCAGATTACGGCTCCTTGAACTCGTTACGCGTGCTCCAGCTTGCTTAATGCTAATTCCACGAGCATTATACTCGATAAAAATAATGATGATGAGAATAATAACGATATGATAATAGAAAGATTGTCGTCGTTATGATGGACTGTGTATGAGCTATATATATATATATTTATGAAAATATCCTTTAGATACATTAACAAGGTTCCAACAAACGTTTGAAGTAATTTTCTTTTAATTAAAAACGGTCCTCCTCATCTATCTCGCATCTCTAGCCTCATCTAAATCTTTTTCAATCCGAGAAACGCGGATTTATTTATTTTATTCCGCCATTATATATCCGCGTATTTTTTAATTTTAATTCGGGGTATTTAAAAATTTGTGTTTATACATTATATCGTATATGAATGGATAAATTTAATTCCTTCGAATAAAATTTCAAGAGAAATTTGCTTATCCAATTAGCGACACATCACCGTGTGTGTTGGTTGTTTCGTTAACTCGTTCCTCATGCGAATGAGAAATTTTCTGGCGGATGATTTTCATTCAGGGGGATCATAATTAATAATAAACGTCAGATTCGAAGATCGTCTCTACGATTCAGAAATAAAATTCGTTTTATAAAATATACAATTTTTCATTTTCACTTCTTCGCCGAAATGATATCGATTTTGTTCATTGCCTTCTTCTCGATTAATAATTAAAGTTGAAGAGGAAATATCGTTTTAAGACAGAATTGAAGACTGCCAATTTTTTAATCATTTCCTCGATTTATAGAAAACTTTTACTTTCTATTAAATAAAAAGCACATCTGTAAGCAAAAACAAGTAATTTAAGAGTAATTTAATACCTTTATTTATTTATTTTTTTAACGATCCAATATATTCCTTTAAAATTATATCTTTCTCTATCTTTGTAACAACCAAACCAAATATGAAAACCACAAACTTCAAATGATTTATTCGAAGAGAGAACATATATACAATAATTGCACACACTAATTTCTTTCCTTTTATTTCTCACTATCTAATTTACTAATTTCTACTAAAAAAAAAAAAA